AATCTGTACTGTTTGTCAGCCATCCTCCTTTCTGATTTAAGAACATTAAGTTCAGACTACAAAAATTGAAACAAAAGACCAGCATGAGTAATTTGGCTGGATTGCTGCCCCCAGTGCTGAGGGCTAGGTTAATACTGCTTTTTCATGGTGCTTGAGAGAGTCTCCAAGGCCCATAATGAGAAACAGAATATTAAACTGAAATTATTTTCAGTATGTCTTGAGGAAGGTACAGCATGAGGCTCCATTTAAAACCAGTGTATTTATTTGCATTTAGGTGCTTCACTGGTCTGGTAAGACTCTTGCAGCTTGCTCTGACACAGTCATGCTGCTTATCTGTGTCCAAAGATGAAAGAAAACCGGGGGAAAAATTGTTTTAATAGTATGCTATTAGGCTTGCTAGGTCAAAATTTTGAATTCAGCCTGCAGATAGTTCTAATATGAGACTGGGATTTTTTTTAAAAGTGTTTTTAAGTGTTTTAAGAGGGTTATTTCCCTTCTTTTTTTTCTGACCTTTGATTTCATTGAAGGTGTTAAAACTTTGTAAAACAGTTTTAGCAGGAAGTTTTGGGTGTAAAGCATACCCCAGCTGGGTGCTCCTTGTCCTGAAATCCCCCATTCATTGTGCACCTGATCTGATCCCCATGTGTGCTGCTGAGAGATGGGTGCCCTAGGATTAGGATTCTCACATCAACATTTTCTGTTGCAGCGTGTACAGGCAAAAAATGAACATGCTATGTCTGTTCAAGGACCTCTGAAATGTGCTCACTGCAGCAATCAAGCTCCTTTAAAACCATTTTTATCTCTGTGCATTCCTGCAACCATAAGGAGAAAACCAGTGCTGTTTGCTGTTTATGACTCAGCCATACCCTGTCTTGGGCAAGAGTGGGGGGTGATGGCCCAGTCTGGGGGTCCTGCCTCCTGCAGGCTCTACAAAGACTTGCTTTTAGCTTCCTTTGCACCAGACAGTAACACTGAGAACACAAAATGTTGGTGTCTCGGTACGATGAATTTCTTATAAAACAATTAAAAGGTGTAAAAAGTTCCCGCATTTTGACGTAAATGTAAATGTTACCTTGGGGGGAGGACTTCCAGTACTTTTTGGCTTGGTTTTCTAACGTGTAATGACCACAGTCATATTGTAGACAGAATCCCCAAGAACAAAGAATCACTGTGAAGTAGTGTATGTAATTTTTTTTTTCCCTTAAGAAAGTAAAAATGTGGTTTTGAAACACATAACAAGCAAAACTGAAGGCAAAACCATCTGAAATCTACTGAGTGTTCTCAGCCATTTTGATGTCCGTGGTCAGCAGGCATCTGGGACCGCTTGATGGTTTGGAGATACCAGGAGTTTTTTCCCAGAGTGTCTGGAGTTGAAGCTGCACAGTCTGCCCTGCCTGATCCCAAATTTCTTTATCTTATGTGGTTTATACTTGTGCAGTTTCAAAAGAAAAAGAAAGAAAGGCAAATATCTACAAGTAATAGTTTTTTTCTTGGCTAGATTTTAAAATGCACCTACAGGGTCACAGAAGTGACCATGGGCCAGAAGTGGGGTGTCTCTAGAGGTATATGTGGTCCTGAATGCATAGAGCCATCTGCAAGTGTAATCTTGTAACTTCCATTCACAGTGCCTCAAGAGAGCTTTTAAAATTCTTGCTTTGTTTGTCTTAATGTTCTGTTGTGGAGAGATTGTTCTTCCTCTGCAGTAACCTCTTGAGATGTCTTTGGATTCCAGGCCATGTGTTCCCATGATAGGACATCTTCTTCCCTCCCTAGAGGTCTGCAGGGTGATAAGGAGCATGGTGATGTTGTGGGGGAAAGGACTTGGGTGGGCATCATTCAT